ATGTCCTAATTGAATATATTACAATTTTAACAGTATGGAATAGTGATCAAAATTGATCAGAAACAAGCAATAAGCCTCAAACTGCATTTTTAAATGAGTGAGACTGAATTACTTTTGTACTACTCGTGAAAAAAAAACCAACTTTAAAAAATAGCAAAGGCTATGTATAGGTCATCAATGAGTATTTAATAGAGTAGATGATTTTGAAAGTAACTCAGAGGTAGGAGGGAGAATAATCCAAAAAAAATTATTAAGGCTAATACTGGATCAAAGTCACACAAGAGGCTTCAAGAAGCCCTCAGCAGACAGACTAGCCAACCATCCACACGTGTTCTGTCCTTGAAATCTCTAGCACACTCTGTCTTAAAGCCAGAGTAAAACATTTTACATGACACCCCTGCAGACTGACAAAGAATGACTTACTCTGAAGAAAAGGGGGGGGGGCATAGAGTGCTATACCATTAGATCACCTTTCTTTACTACTGGCCTAAAAGGAAGGCCTTCTCAGTCTGGAATCATGGTGCAGCTCTAAACGGCAAAACAAATGAAAACCATGTTGGTCATAGTAGGTACTGTGGATCTTTCACGAAATAAGTCATTTGATAGTGCATAACGTTCTACCCCTTTAGGAACATTTGCTAATCATCCTGAATGACAATCTAAAGTATATTATGTAGATTACTGCACTCTTAAAAAGATTTTCCCAAACACGGTTTAAGCTAATTCATGAACATTCATTACTCCGCTTTCAGGTCTGGTCCTGCACTGAATGGTCCCAGACATGCTAGTTAGGCTCTGAATATTTGTTTTGTGTCTTGTAGATTATCTCTATTATCCTCACCAGGCTGTTATCTGTTTTTTCTTACAACAGTAGGCTAACAGTTCCCCATCCTCCTACCCCACCCCCCACTACACTCCCCTAAACCTCCCACATTACCCACAATCTACTTCTTTTTAATTTACTGTGGGCTTAGAAGCTAGATAACTTCGTTAGAAACATGTGAAATATATACCAACAGGTTCTACTGATGGGTCTCAATGGGTCTCCTGTGACTAGAACTTCAGGTGTGGACTTAGGACCATTGACAGCTACCCCAGTCCTTTTTGCTTAGTGTCTGGTTCTCAAATGCATTTTATAATAGGTCAAGAATAAGAGTGTAGGCAAATCATCTGGATTAGAAAGAAAACGACTGAAAGCTACAAAGAGAAGAGAGCAAGAGATCATCTGGGAGGACCCTAGGTCTGAGGAAATGTTCAAGGTATTTCAATCACAATCATTTAATCCCTATAATAATGGAAGAGGCAGTTGTCATTACCTCTGTTTTCAGTGAGAAAACCAAGGCTCATGAGTTAAGCAATTTGCCCAACACTGTAACTGAGAAACCAACCGCCAGCCTAGGTTGTTCTGACTCCACAACCTAAGGCGGTTCCACTATATGAGATTGTAGCCCAATCCTTTTCCTCGATGTAGCTCAGTGTCTTTGCACTTTATTTCCAATCCTTTCAATGGAACCTGTCTGATGCAGATTTGCTTGCCTTCTCCAGCCAGTTTCTAGAAGTAAAAGGCAAAGGATAATCAAACCGAGGCAAGTTAAGCTCAGAGCTCTACATGTGTTCATCTGTTCAGCAACAAGTATGTTTCTGTAACACTGGCCATATCCTCAGTTTGTACAGATTGTGCAAAGATGGTGACAAGTTCCCCTCACCCCCCCCAAATACAGACTGTTCCCAGTGACACTATGAGTTAACACTTGACATCTTCCCTGGTGATGTCCTCTACATTTGACAGAAAGCAATGTAAGCATACTTTAGGAACTGGCTCAGTAATACACGACAAGCTCCCTCAATTTGTACAATAACACGATTTTTCTTACTTGAAAGACTGGAGGACAGGCAGGAGATAGGAGGAGTTTCCACTTCTCTACTTCCATTAAGGAACAGGGGCATACTTGTTTCTTGTTAGATCCTTTATTGCTGAGTCCAGGGCCTGACACAGCAAAGACTATTTTATTTGTTGAGTAAATGAATAAATGCTACTTGTTCAATAAATACATGTTATTTTGTTGAATAAATGTATAACCTCTCCTGAACTGCTTTTGAAATCTTTGGATTTCTCATTTCTGACATACCCTTGCAATACCTGATGGAAAACAGCTTTCATCTTACAAAAATTAAAAGCTTAAAAACCATTCTTCTCCTCCCATCAGAAGACAAAGTATCTAAGACATGCCCCTCTCCATCCTCTAAAAATGACTCTTGTCCCAAGAACATGAATAAGCCCCCATCTGCCAGACTGCACTAAATACAGCTTTTATATGCATTACAAAAACACCTGTATAAAAAGCTGCTACAAAACAAGGCCTTTGGAGTCCTAAAGCACAAAGCCAACAGAATAAAAACCAAGTAAGAATAAAGAGATCTTTCATTTATAAAAGCCCAAACAGAAAATATTTGCTAAATGTAAAAATATAATGTCTTTGATCAGCAGATGATGCAGCTCAACTGTTTTTTCACTCACGTATCTCCCCTAAACGTGAAGTAACAAGATCACAGCAATAGAATTATAATATTTATGATATGAAAATAAGAAGAGGACCTTTTGCCATCCTGAAGTAGAAACCACCTTTGTTCCTATTAAAAAGAGTGACTGCCGAAATACACAAACCATCCCCAAATTCCTACTTAGTTAAAACACATATACCAGGCCTGACAAGCCACAAACAACAGGAAATTACCCTTCATGGTTTCTTACAAGACTATTATTACATGAACCTTACAGACTGTGTAGAGATTTGATCACTTAGAACTAGGCACAGGTAAGTTCCAACCATGAAAAAGCAAACTTTTGCTCAACACCTACAACGTGATATCACTTTAGAAGGTATAACTACAAAGTACGAAACCGAAGCTCTAAGAGCCATTTCTTCCTCAACAAGCCCAGAAATGGATGTTTCAAATCACATTAATAAAAATTTGCCAATAAACTACTTTAAACTCAATTTAACATTTAGAATACTAAGTGTGCACTTGGACTCAAAATATCCTTATTTACTACCACAACTAATTTTATGGCGAAAATCAAGGAACTTTAAAAATAATAAAATCAGTGTTAGTAAATAAAATAAAAATATAAAATAAAAATAAAAATAAAAAAATAAAAAATCAGTTTTACTTTCTGAGTTTAATATAAATGTTTGCTAAATGACCTTCTGATTGAGAAAAATTCCACAATATCCTGTGTGGTTTTTTTTTAAGGCAGATGAAAAAATTCTCAAACTAAAATACATTTATGAACTTTATTTTACATTATTTCACCCATCTGTGTTACATTTGCTTCACTTATCTCCTTATTCACATTAAAACTCCTCAAACTTCATTTAACTATTTAACTTAAACTTCTAAGGAAAACTTTTTAAAGGGGATCAAAACTAGAATAATAGCAAATGCACTTTCAGAGTAAGAGCAAATTTATTATCTTATTCGGCTCAAGGAAAAACATCCTTACATCACAAGTACAGTACAGTTCAATTCATATAAAATCAGAGGAGAACAAACGAAAAGAAACTGAGATTACAGAATTATTAAGAATTCTGAAATTAATTCAAATTTCTGGGAGCACTTCTTAAAGATGGAATTACTCCAAGTAGCTTTGCCTGACCATTTATTTATTCATTAACAGTTACTTTACGTGTGCACCTTAGAAGCCTAAAACAAAATTTACGACACTCCCAACTGTAACAAACAAGACACGATTCTGATGGGAAATGCTGCGTTCAAACTCGTCTTACCTGGAGATGCTTTTTTAAATAAAGGTTTCATTGACAACAAACCGGTAATACTTAGCTTTTAAGGGGTCAAGAGGAAGGAACAACAAAACCAACCTAGGTATTGTTTTTCTTTTGTTTAGGATCAAAAGGAAACCATAACCACAGAAAGGTTAAGTAAGTAAAAGGCCAAAGTACCCAACCCCAAGGACGGCATCCCCCAAGAGAGAACAAAACAATTAAAGTTGCAAATGTGTAAACCAAGTCTGGAATACGTGAAATCAATTAGCGTGCTTTCTAAAGGCGTGTGACAAAAACTAACAGACTCCACTCCCAGAGCAACTTTCACAAGTGAGTGCAGAAGGCTCTCGACAGAGTTTATCAGCCGTGTGCGTGCCTGCGTGAGAGTACACACGAGCAATTCAGACCCCGGGACCAGAATGGTTAACAAAGGTTACAGGACAAAAAAAAAAAAAAGTGGAAGCTAAGTATCGCACGCTCCTAACACGGCTTGCCAACAACTCCCAAAACAAGAGCTCGGTCTCTCCGGCTTTTTGAAAATCAGAACCACAAACTACTCAGCGTGCTCGCCCGGGAGAGGACCGGCCACGGCTGGCCCCCGCTCTGCGCCGGGCAGCTCCGGCAGCTCGGGCGCCGACCCCTTCCCCTCCCGCCCGCACGCCCGCCAGGCACCCGAGCCCCGACCCAGCCACACCCCGGCCCCCGGCCCCCGGCCCCCGTGGCCATGTGACGCGGCGAGCCTCGCCGACCCGAGCCCGACGCAAACACACCCCTAGCCCCGAGGGCCCGCCGGGCGCCGCCGCTTTACCTGCACCGAGGCTCCGGGTCCCGCCCCGTCAGAGCCGGGGGTCCGGGACCTTTTGTTCCTTCCTCTTCCGAATGGGATGAGGGGCTGGGAGGGGAGAGGGGAAGGGGCGATTGGAGGAGGAACTGAAAACACTCTCGCGGCCGCCCGGCCCGCCCCGCCCCGCGGCCCGGCGCGCGCGGGGAGGGGGCACGGGCTCGGCCACCGCCCGCGGGAGGGAGGGGGTGGGGACGCGCGTCCCGCCGCCGCCGCCGCCCCTCCTCCTCCCCTCAGGCGCGCGCCCGCCCGCATCCCACCCCCCTCCCCCGGGCCGCCCGGACGGCCGAGCCCTCCCCCGCCGCGCCTGCCGGCCCACCTCCGCTTCCGCCCTGCGCCCTCCGCCGCCGACCGCAGCGGCGCGGCGCACCCACCTCCGGGCGGCTCGCTCGGCGCTCGCTGGCTGCTGGCTGGGAGCTGCTCCGCCGCCGCCGCGGCCGCGCAGTAGACCCGCCTCCCACCCCGGGCCGCGAGCCCCGCCGATTCGCCGGCGCAGCCCCGGGGCTGGCACCCTGCCGCCCGCTGATTGGCGCCCCCGGCCGCCCGTTACGGCGCGAGGCACGCCGGCCGAGCGCAGCGCTCGGCGCGCACGGAAGACGAGGCGAGCGGAGGAGGGAAGGAAGGAGGCCGAGCGCCCGGGAAGGGCCGGGGCGCGAGCGGGGCTCGGAGAGTCGCGGGCCAATACCTCCCCACCTCCTTTCCCTTCGGCCGCCCCGCCCTCCCGGCCGGACCGGCGGCGCGCGCAGCCAATGAGCGCGCGCGGTGCTCGGGGTGTGAGCCGCGCGTCGGGGGCCTCGAATCGGAAGGGAGACGTCGCTCGCTGATTGGTCCCGCCTCCCCCGTAGAGCGTGAGGCGAGGCGCGGCCGGGCGGCGGGGCGGCCGAGGACGAGGAGGGGTGGGACGCCCACGGTTTCGGTTGACTACGTCTCGGGCGCGCTCCCATGAGAGATTCTGGGAAGGGAAGGGATGATGGCAGGCGAGGGGAAGGCACGTAACCTGCCGTGCTGCCGACCACCCGTCTCTCATCGGCTCGGCCCGGGGCCCCCTCCCGGTCTCCTGCCATCGCCATTGGGTGGGGCCTGTAGGGGCCGCCGCCTAGTCCACCTTCCGTACTCGAGCTGGGAGTGGACATGTGCTCGTCCCTGGGTGGGGGGCAAGGGGCGCCTCGACGATACGACGAGCGGGGGCAGAAGAGGGGACTGCAGAAGCTCGAGGACCCGACCCACCCTGGGCCCGCCCAGAGGCGAATGGGTGGGCGGGGCCCTCGTGGTGGTAAACGGGGCGGGGTCCGAGATGTAAATAAGCCCAAGCGGGGATCTTTCGTGGATATTATTAGGAGCAGGGTAGGGGATACCAGGTATTTTTGAAGAACCAGAATCTTGGTTTTGTTTTCTTTTAAAAATGGTGATAATAATGCATGCTCTGAAAGGTTCTCGCGAAGTCTAAAAGATAAGCGCCTAGCCTGGTCTTCCCCTCCTCGAAGTTTCTGCGGGGTTCGGTCGATATTCGTAGGCTCCAATCTCGCACGTCTGCGATACAGGGCCCTAAGCTGCTGGCTGCCCAAAGCTGGTGGATGGGTATACACGCTCCGGTAATCTTGAGGCTTTTACCCTACGGACACCCAAGCCTCTGCCAGAAACACTGACCCAGCTAATCCCATCAAGTATTTATTAAGCATATACTATGTTCGGCAGCCAGCACTGTAGAACTACAGTTGAAAAGAAACCGAGGTCTTAACACAGGTAGTTGGTGCCAGAGACAAGACCAGAACACAGTTTTCTTGGCTCCCTGGCCAGCGCTCGTCCTCATCAATCCTTCATGGTTTCATTTGGGAACTCAAGATAAACGAGGAAGGTGGACCCAGCAGTACAAATCTGTTTACTAAAGGGTAATATCGGATGATCATTTCAAACAGCAGGAGTTCTTGAAGCATACTCTTTCTTTTCAGAAAAGAACACTTCCCTGAAGAGAGAACCTTCAGATGGACCCAGAGAGATATTTGGTCAATCTCAGTGTCTCACAGCTTTTCCAGACTTAATTTCAGAATCTTCATTTCTATCTCTGTCCTCAAATAATGGAAGCCCTGGGGTTAGGCAGATTGTAGTTTCAGATGCTACTCTGTTCCAAATCTGTGAACTTTGACAGGTGGAACTCACCTACAATGCGAGCTGTTTAAGTGTAGTTCTACGGTGATTAAATAAAACAATGAACATAAATAGCATTAGGGCTTTGAAATTAAAAGAAAGTCAATAATCATTATCATTTCTTCCCTTCTGTTGTTTTCATGGGTTTGTGCTAAGATGAACCTATTCACCTGAAATCCTCCCTTCTGAAGTTTACCTCTGCGGTAGTTTCTTCCATTGTCAGGTTGCAGTCAGCTATATATTCACACCTTCCAAAAAATAGCTTCTGAAGGAGACCCAGGAAGCCAATTGGTGGAGCTGTTCCGCCTCCTAAGATTTCTGTTTCCACTTCCCAGAGACGCCAGGGAGGATAGTCTAGGGCAAAGCCTGTTCAATTTAGAAGTAGGAAGGCTGTTTTTGGTTTTAGTCTTTCTTCCGGCAGACACAAGCCAACAGTTTTAATATGAAATAGCTTATAAAAAGCTACCCTGGATCACACAAATATTTTCTCCTTTGTGACCAGGATGTGCATTTCGTGTCCTCGTGGGTGAGTAGGAGTAGAAACAAAAGCAGGACTCGCTCAAATTCCAGAAGGATCTGCTCCCAATATGGGAGTTAGGTGCTTTGGGGAAGATTAATTCAATGGACAATATGCTTGAGGTCTACGTTAGAGCATCTCTCCAAAGTGTCAGAATTTGGGTTCCTAACCCTTCATTTAGAAAGCTTTCCAGGATCTTGGATTAAGGAAAGGAGAGGAGGGACAACCTGACTACAATGATATCCCCAAAGGGCTTAGAAACGGGAGCATGCCTACTGCCCCCCTCTGTTAGAAATGCATCTAAACCAAAGTGGGTCAAGACAGAAACTAAAGGCAGATGGAGCAGAGATTACTGTGGCGGCAATCTATGTGGAAATCCACTGGGGTACCTCAAGACAGACCTAGACAGGCCCCTATTGCATAAATTATATTGAGTGGATCTTATTTTTATGTAGCTAGACAAGTTTAACCCTTCATTATGCAGGACCTTTCAAAATCAATTAAAAAATCAATTCAGAATCAATTTAAAAGTAGTTAAACTCACAGGAAAGACTTACAGGAAAAACAGTAATGGTGGTTGCTTCTGGAAAGAGATCCATGGAGTCATGAGTGAAAAACTTAAAATTTCATCATTCATTACTCTGCAGTTTGAATCTGTAGAAAATATATCCTTGTTGTACTGATTTTTCAAAAGATAAATCCTATTCCATCTCCTCTCTGATAAATCTCTAAAGCCCTCCATGGTTCCCTCCCGCCCAGAGGATCTATCACTCACCTACGATTGAATTTTCTCTCATGGTCGCAGTGACTTACATACCATGACTTCGCTTTGATTAATGTCTTGATCTGTTAGTTTAGTCTTGAGCCGTTTTTTAACTTCTCATGTGTATGTTTTGTCTCCCCATTTAGATTGTAAATTCCTGAAGGACAAGGACAGCATCTTGTTCCCAGCTGTCTTCCCACACTCTAAGATAAAAAAATTCTTCATAATTGAAGAAAGGTGAAATACAGCATTTGGATAGCAGAAACACACTCTGTGTGGGTCAGGGGTCTGCGGGTGTTCTACACAGCTTTGCCGCATCCATTCAGTGATACTCTGTTGAGTATCTTGTCAGCACCCCATCTCTCTATTCGCCCATCCTGATGGACCCACATTGCAGGGAGCATTACAGCATCTTAAAGAAAGATTCGGTTATTTGCATCTAAAAGGACACTGATTAAATGAGATAACCTGAGTAAAAATTGTAAAGAATAGGTGTTTGGGGTTATTTTTGTTGCAAATGATGAAGATAATGAAATCCAACACCAGCTACATTTTTATCCCAATATAATGAAAAGTCATGTTTTAAATGAACTTAGGTTGAAGATGTGTATACCTGTATCTATGCATACACACGGTCCGTATTGACATGCGAGTTTTTACTAAAAATAAAAAGATAACATATTTAACATCTGATGGGAAATGCTGGAGACAAGGATAAAGTATGTACAAGAACAAAGAATTAAATTTGACATTTAGCTAGTATCTGTGATGTGCCTATCATAAAAGTATGCTGAAAAATTCTCATTTCATGGTCAATATCTCTCAAGAGAAAAAGACATACATGTAGGATTTTTGAGATTTGAAGAGAGGGAGAGGAATTGAGAAGTTGGCTCTGGTTGAGAAAAACATTTGTAGTGAAAACTAAAGTTATATATATCATCATCCTCCAGGCATCTGATAATTAATATTATATTTCTTATCTGTACACTTAAAAGCATAAATAATCATTGGATCAATTGATTTTTGGGATAGCTAATCCAATGATTGCTGAAATATTACTTGGTAAATTGTAGTACTGTTTTAATGCAATGAGCACAACCATAAAGGATTTAAATACTATTTGAGATCCACACATTTGGGAAAAAACTAGACAAAGGCCCATGTCTAAATGCTGAAAGAACAATGTACAAATTATTTAAAGTTCAGTTGTAAAGAGGGATAATTTGGTAGTCATATGTCAACAATAGGGCCTTATGCCTTGATTATAATTGTCTGTGTGTGACAATATTGACTGAGCCAAGCTGCTGCTAGGCAGGATTAGTGTATGGAGGTATAATGCTCTTGGAAAATTTCAAGCATGTTAGAATAATTGCTCTGATGAAGAATGAAGAGCTTATTTAACATAACTGACTAGAGTAGACAATAGATGCATAGTCAGTGTCCTAATGATTGAATTAATGAGCCCCAGTTGTTTGTCTTTACTGTAAACAGTCCTCAGCTATGAAAAAGACATTTTGCTAAAGGAGTCTGACCATTGTGTTAGCTGATGAGTGGCCAGAATATCATGAATGATGGGAAAGAACCAACTACTATTGGGTCCTAAAGACGTCAGTGGTGGATTTCAAGGAGTAAATTATTTAGCTACGTAGAAGTTTCATATCAGCTCCTTCTTGCCTTCATACAGTCATGGAGCCTGATCAGTGCTCTTACGCTTAGAAAAGCAAGGCCCAAGCTTCTTCAAAATCCTATGGCCACTAAGTGCCAGAAATTAAACATGGCATCTATGTTTCCTGCTGTGATACACCACTCATTCTTCTCCCTGTCCCTGGTCTGCACACTCACCCATGCCTTTGCTACCCTCTTCAATCTCCCTATTCCCATTACCTTCTGTGTACATGTCCTGACCGACATTTTCACAGTGAAAATAGGGACAAATTTCCTGTCCACACCTAAACCCCTAGCACTAGAAAATATGTCTGTCTCCAGATTTATGCTTCCCGCCAATTCCTGTTCCTCTTTCTGGAAAAGGCTTTCCCTTCCTACCTCTGTTCCCTTGACCACCTACTCTAGGTTAGCACACCATCACCCCAAACACACAACACCT